TCTCCTAACCAGAGCCTCTGTCTCCAGCTTTTCCCTATCCAATCCATAGTTAGCACCCTAATAATGTTCCTAATGCACAACTGTCCTGGCTAACTTTCAGTATCACTTTATTGCTTAACAAATAAATTCAGAGCCCCTGATTCTGGCATGATTCAAGATTCCCTAAATCCAGCTGCATCCAGATTTCTCCTTATTTCCCTTCATGTTCTCTGTTTTCTAGTCAAACTAGACTATTTTCGATCCCTCATTCTTACTGGGCCTTCTCCTTCCTCAATGGCTTCACTCACAGTAAGTATCCTCCTTGTAAGTATCACCCCCTCCCGCATCTCTGGCTATTTAAATCCTTCCCTTTCCTTTGAGGCCCAACTCTAGTATCACCTGTCCACAAAGCCTTCCCTAATATAATACTCCCCTTCCCCACCTGAAAGTGATCTTTCTCTTTTCAAATTCCTCCCAGCCCCCTGTCTGGCTCTTTTTTGTACTTATCTCACTCTCCTGGGTTTCTTAGTAATTTTTGTTTCTGCCTCGCCCCCCTCCCAAATCTGTTCATCGTCAGTGATTTTTGTCTGAAAAAGGACCTAAGAGGGCATCTAGTCCAACCCACTCAAATTACAGATGAGTAATCTGAAGCCCAGAGAGAGGTTAAGTGTCTTACCCAGGGTCACATAGGTAGTAAATGGACAGAGTTTGGGCATCATATTGCTGTGTATTCCTGGCATACAAAGGCCTTTACAAATATTTGTTGTGTGTTGAGTTCAGTAGAAGTAGTAGTATTTTCATATTTGAAGTTAGATCAGATCATGGATTTTAAGAACTTTCACTTTAAAGGGAAAACATTGCTTTTGCCAAGGAATCAACCAATGTCTTCCTCAGAATGAGAAAACATTTCTCTTGTCAAAACCTTTTTTCTTTGTTTTTAGTATGCCTTTCATATTTTGTACCTATCCATTTAATTTAGTTCAACAAACATTTATTAAATGTTTTCTGTATGCCAGACAATATTAGGTACCGAGTTCTAGATTCTATCTATGGGGGCTCATAGCAGTGTATTATGCTCAGTGGGCTCTGTCTCTCAGAACAGCACTGGGCAGCCTGCTTGGGAATCTGGTCTCTTTTACTACACAGTTCATGTCACAATCATTCGTGATAAATAGAATGGGAACGGGAGAAAACTTGGCTGAGAGTTGACAATCTAAGAGCACAGTGTGGTTAATAACCAATGGTTCTCAGGGGTCCCAAGAGAGGAGGCAGTGGCCAAAGAGCAGTGAACAGACTGTGTCCAAACCACTCCCTAACCTTCTTTCACCTCTTGCTGGCATTACTCCACGACCTTAGTCCTTTTTAGCTGTAATTTGTTTGTATGGAGTAGAAGCGGTTTTCCTGTCTACCTGTCTTAAATCTCTAATAAAGTAAATGCTGAATGAACTAAAACTAATGAATAGATGAAAGTAGATCTTGAAGCTTACTTTGTCCATGACCAAATTACTTCTTGTAGCAAGTTACTAAGCCATTATCTTCTTAAATTCTGAATAATCCTTAGGACAGTTTGACTATGTAAGACTGTGGCTATGGTTTGGAAGTCCTCTGCTTGATAACCCTGGCAAGCCTAATGGTCTCTGGTCTCAAAGCTCTAAGGCTCAACTCTGAGAGGTGCATAAAATATTTAACTATTAAGTATCTGGAATTTTCTGTAAACATAGTTTCAAAATCAGTAGGGAATATGGGCGCGCGATCAAATTTGTTATAAATTTTTTTAGGTTCAGCTGATGCGGCCCATCAGGATGGATTTCACAGCTATACATCTGCAGAGGAATGTTTATAGATAAGATGAAAGAGGTCCTCCTTATTAATCACACATTGTATATTTGACTTTTGCTTCCCAGCTCAGCCTTTAAATCAACTACATCTGGTTCTTGCTACTTCACTGTGCAGGTTCCTTTTTTTAAAAAAACAATAAAAGGCAGTTAGTTCATTACTGCTGTAGGAGGCAGGCCCATTTGATTAAAAATGGATTAACTAGAGAGGCATTGGTAGTTTTCATGGCGGCCGCCTTAATAATGAATTTGATAGCAGATTTGAGACCTCCAAAAATTATGATCAGGCAGCTCTCTGAGTCTCTTTACAGTCAATCTGTTTAATGCTGACATTAAACAGTCCTGCTGCTTGGTTAATGTTGACCAAAAGCAAAGACAAAATTGTCTAATGTCTACAGTGCTGGACTTGAGAGTTAGGAAGGCCTGGGTTCAAATTCTACATCTGACATTTACTAGCTTTGTGACCCTGGTTAGCTCAACAATTTTCTATGAGCTTCAGTTTCCTTATTAATTAAATAGGTATTAAAATACTTGTAGACACTAATTCTTAGTGTTTTCATGAGGTTCAAATGAGATAATATATGTAAGGAGCTTTGCAAACCTCACAATTTGTTATTGTTATTCAGTTGGTTTTCAGTCCTCTTCTTGACCCTTTTTGGGGTTCTCTTGGCAGATGCTGGAGTGGTTTGCCATTTCTTTTTCCAGCTCATTTTACAGATGAGGAAACTGAGGCAAACAGTATTAAATGATTCGCCCAGGGTCACACATCTAGTAAGTGTTTGAAGCTAGATTTGAACTCAAGTTTTCCTAACTCTAGGCCACCCACCCACCTAGCTGCCCCAAACTTTACAATGCTGTATATTTATCATCATTTGCCATTCCATATCTACCTTCCATCACCTAGGGAGTGTGTCATATATAAGATTTGGAATCAGCAAACAGCTATGTTTTACATTAAAGTTTCCAAGACCTCAAAAAGAAAATAAATTCAATTTAGCCAGATGTTTATTGCATACTTATGTGTAATTAGGAATAGAGTTTGGACCTGTAATTTCATTAGCATAGGAAATTGCCAGCTGAGGAAACCTCCTCTACAAAATCAGGTTGGCAGCTTCTCTACAATTTATAATCTTAAAATTATAATTTGACCAAAATCACGGTCAGTAAACTATAAACATGCTTTAAAGTTAAAGCAAAATATACGATAAAAAATCATTCACTAAACCTTCAATAAAAGAGAAACAACATACATGAAGTTGCTAATAATATTGAATGAGGTTTGTGAACATTCATTTGGCATAGTTATCAAGTACTGAGAGCTTTGTGGTAGGAGTTAAAGACTTCAGAATTCAAACCCAGCAATGGCTTTTGCTGTGGTGTGTCGCCTTGAAACTGATTTTACTGGGCTCCAATTTCCACATATGTGTAATTGGGATCATAAAATGTGGCCACTGCAGAAAGGACATGTGGAAATTGAGTAAGTAGACAATATATATGCAAGAAAATTTGGCCTTTCATCTCCTGGTTTGACTTGCACCCTGATAACGTCACTTAAATTCTCCAGGTCCCTACTTCTATGTGATAGGATGATGAGGAATTAAATGGTCCTCTCTCTGGGAAGAGGGAATGCTGTTCTCTGGGTTGATCAGCATTTCAGCATCTGCTATGTAGTTGTGTGCTCCATTTGAACCCAATGGTCCAATGAGTCCCTCTGCTTCTCCTCTGCAGCTCCCTTAGCATAGACTTGGTAACTACAACCTCTTACAAACAAGAGCCCTAGGTAGCTGTCCTTCATTGCCTCCAGAATGGTTCTGCATTTTCTATGAAGACAATAACAGCAGAAATCGAAACTGGACTCTTATCTTTTAGTATTGAATAAGCATAATCATTGAGTGAGAAAAGCAATGGACTGTTACTTAGTAGCTCTGTATCCTTGGGCAAGTCACTGAAACCTCTGAAAGGCACTTTCCTCATGTGTAAAATGTCCTTCCTACAGCTCATTTTGAGGATTCAGTGGAATTCTGTAGCTCAAAGTACTTTGAAAATTATAAAGTTCAGTAATATTCCTAAAGTACACATTTAAACATGAAATTCCCCTACTCAATAAACTCCAGTGGCTTCTTCCTGTTACCTCTGGGGTCAGATATAAACTCCTCTGCTTTACCTTTAAAGCTGTTAACAGCCGAGCTCCAATCTTCCTTTCCACCTTATCTTATGTTGTTTCCCTCCATGCTTTCTACAGTCAAGTCAAACTGACCTTCTTGCAGGTCCTCCATGCCTTTGCACAGACCATCCTCCATGCTTGTAAAACACTCCATTCTCACCTCTGTCTTTCTGAATCCTCAGCTTCCTTCAAAGCTCAGTTCAAACTACAGAAGACTTTTCCTGATTGTTTTAGCTGTCAGTAACTTTAAAAAAAATTACCTTGTATTTATATGGATATAGCTTAGAAATACATGTATGTGTTATCTTTCCTAATAGAATGTATGCTTCTTGAGGGCAGGGGCTGTTTCACTGTTATCTTTGTATCTCTGGTGCACAACACATAATAAGCTATCTATAAGAGCTTGTTGATTGATTGATAGACATTTAAGTTCTTATTATTGTGCTAATGATGTCTGAGATGATGAACCAGTAGAACTGAGAATCTAATGGTTTTCTCCACTGTTTCTACCATTACATGTGAAGTAGAACCAGAGCCATGAGTAGGCTGGGGAGCACTGAGCTTAGTACTAATTGCACGACGGCATCAAAATTTAGAAGGCTCTGATGGCATTTCGCTTTCATAGAAACAAGTGAGTTAGCAGTAAAAATTAGTTAAAATTGGAAACTACCAGGGAGTGTAATCTCTTCCTTCCATGGCCACTGCATTGCTTGCCGTGTCCTGTCCCGCTCCTTCTCCCCATATGTCATTCTCTCTGGCATTGGACTCCTTTTCCCCCCTACGTGTCTGTCTCCCTCCCTCTTTGCCACCCAATTGAATTTTATTTGAAATGTTGATTTAGTGCATAAATTTCATGCTGCCTGTCCTGGATGCCGTAATTGCTAGTCATGTCTCTTAGCAGACCATCATCAGATGAGGACTGATTTGCCAGCTGTGTTTTGTTGGGTTATATTAGCTAATATATGCCTCATTGGAAAAGATTTGACTTAGAATGTATTATGTTCTTTCTTTATCCTTCACAGCTTGAAAATTACATTGTGGAAAATATGAAGTCGGAGATGGCTCAACTACAACAGAATGCCGTTCAGAACCATACAGCCACCATGCTTGAGATAGGAACCAGCCTTCTTAGTCAGACAGCAGAGCAGACAAGAAAACTTACAGATGTTGAGACCCAGGTATGTCCCTGGGGCCAGACTTGACAAGCTGTTAACTATGAAGATGTGTGTGGTTTGGGTTTTTTTTTTTCAAAGCTCTCTCTTCAAGGAGCATTACATACTCTATTGTATACATATTGCTAACAACAACAAGGACTGAGTGGCTTATTTTGTATGGCTCTTTTGATTTAATGAGAGTTGGTAAATTTATCTTTGTATGTGTTTGTAAAAAAAAAAAGGACTGGCAACATGACTAATCAGCATTTAACTTCAAATAAACAGTCGGGCTACCAACTGGGAAGTGATAGAAGTGTCAACAAAATAAATTATTTCTAAGGTCAAAATACACCTTTGATGCACATTTCAATGTGTCGCATTATTACGTGAACTTTCACGTATTTTCTATACTAACTTTCCAGCAATTTGAACACTGTGGTCCCTACGGAGTTTTGTAGGTCTGACAGAGAAGAGCCCACAAAGGGAATTTATTAACTTAGAGGAATGTGTAGAATTGACTGTTTGAGATGAGACAGAGTGATGTGGTAGAAACAGCACTGGAAGGTGAATCAGGACACATGGGTCCTAGATTTAAGCTTTTCTACTCACTACCTGTGTGACCTTGGGCATAGTACTGTATCTGTAGCAGTCTCAGTTTCTTTGTGTAAAAAAATGAAAGTTAGATCAGGTGTTGTATGTGTTCATTCCACCTCTAATGTGCTATGATTTTATAGCATGTAGGCATTTTTTCTACATAATTAACATATACTTAGGAAACTGAGGCGTAATTTTGCAGAGAGAGCTAGCAGAAAACCCAAGACCTTCCTTTATCTGCCAGTTCATTTCCTAGATAGATCATCCATATGTCCATAAATATTCAGTTCAAACAACTTGGAGGGAGAAAGACATGGTATTGTCTACCACTAACATGAAAATTGATAATTGTGATAGATCATATTCATATGGCACTTTAAGAGGCAGCATGGTGTTAAGGATAGAGAGCTGGCCTGGAGTCAAGTAGATCTTCTTTGAAGTCCCACCCTTTGCTAGGCAAAGAAGTGGATAGAATGCTAGACCTGAGTTCAAATTCTGCTTTAGACACTTATGGGGTGTGTGACTTTGGGCAAGTCACTTCTGTCTACCTCAGCTTCCTCAATTGTAAAATGAGGGTAATTATAGCACCTCCCATTCAGGTTTGTTGTGACAGTCAAGTGAGATGATATTTAGCACAGTACCTGGCATGCAGTAGGCATTTAATAAATGCTTGTTTCCTTCCTTCCCCTGACACGGATTGACTATGTGAGCCTGAGCAAGTCTGTTCTTCTCAACTGTTTCATAGTTATTTGGTATAACGCAAATGTTGATCTATATTGGTAAAAAGGAGTGTCTTCTTTGGAATTCCCATACACAAATGAAAGATAGATATCTAGATAGATCGACAGATTGATAGATACATAGATAGATTATAGATATACATACGTGTTTACTCAGAGCTTTGCACACAATAAGCTTTTAATGAACGCCTTTTCATTTAAGTGACATAACATCTTTGGTGCTTTGCAAACTGTAAAGTACTGTTAAAAAGCTAGTTATCATCTATCTATAAAGAGAATAAATATTTGACACTCAGAAATTGTTGACAGAAATCACTTTTCTCACAATTCTGAAAGGTTGATTGATTCAGAGGGGATAATTTACCTGAATGGCATCACACATCTAGTTCAGAACTTTTATCCAAGTCTCTCTACTCTAGGTCTTTGTTTTCTGTTTTGTTTTGTTTTGTTTTCTGCTGCTTCACAGATGCCTCTCACAAGAGCTTGCTTAGGTGAGAAAACTTAGTATTTCAGGGAAATAACGACTTCCTTAAGGAGGGAGTAAATTTTGCCCTCTGGCTATTATTGTAGCTTTCTTGGCAGCTAGGTGGCACAATGGATAGACCTGGAGTTAGGAAGACCTGAGTTCAAATCTGGTCTTAGACATTTATTAACTCTGGGACTCTGGTCAAATCACTTAACACTGTTCACTTCAGTTTACTCATTGTAAAATGAGCTGGAGAAGGAAATGACAGTCCAATCTATTATCTTTGCCAAGGAAACCCCAAATGGAGTCATGAAGAGTTTGCAACAATGGAATGGTATCAGACAGCTTAACATTAGATAGGGACTTCTATACACATTTTGCTGTAATTACAGACTTTGTCTTGGTTTGGGGAGTCCTGATCACAGTAATGGACTCAGCCTGTTTAGTGGAAGGAAATAGATGCATGAATTTTATTTATTTAGACTGTTGCAAAAGGATGTGTCCTATTTGTGATAAATCACGTTCTTTGCACTCAAGTTCTGATCTAGGCCCAAGTTTACAAAATCCATCCCAAATTTTTACTTAGGCACATTATGTAGCAGACATTTACAAAAGTAGTTACAAAACCAATTGTTTCTTTTATGTTGTCTAGATCTGCCCTATTCCCCAGTAATGACCAAATACTCTATTTTTCATTTCCTTTCATACTTTTCTACATTCTGGGGAGCATTCTTCTTTCCAAAACTGGCTTCACTTCTACAATAATGGAACATAGCTACATGAAATAGTCACAGCAGTTTTGATATATATTGTAATCTGTCTTTCAGATAGTGATGTAAACAAGTAGACCAGAACCTTGCTTTCCTGGTTCCTTCTTACTAATATGGAAGCAATTTACCAAAATCCATTCTTGCTCTTCCAGCATGCTTTGATTAAGTACCTGATGTATGTAAGGCACTTCATTAAGCTCAGAAAATACAATATTGAAATCAACTTGACTTGGTTAGACAGTACTTTCTTTGAAAAAGAGCTTAAGTTTTTAGTGAACTTCAAGATCAATATAAATCCATCCCCCTCAAAACAAAACAAAACAAGCAAACAAAACAAAGCTAATTCAGTCCACCTTTTATAGAGGTATAGCTTCCAGGACGAAGTAGATGATAGTCTCACTTTACTCTTTCCTGGTCAGAGCATATCTGCAGTATTTTCCTCAATTCTAAGCACCAATGTTTAGGAAGATCATTGAATAGTTGAAGAACTTGAGTCCCTACCTTTGGAGATCTGGTTGAAGGAACTGGGGGACATTCAACCTGGAAAAGAGAAGATTCGGCTCGGTGGAGTTAGGGATGGGGAGACATGATAGCTAGGCTCAAGTAGTTGAAGGATTGTCATGTGAAAGAAAGATTAAACTTGTACTCTTTGGCACCAGAAAGCAGAATCAGGAGCAATGGATAAGAATTAATTTAACCTGATGTCTGGAAAAATCCTAATAATTAGAGTTGTCCAAAAGTGACTAATCTGTCTCAGGAGGTAACCAGTTTCCTCTCATCAACAAAGTCTTCAATCAGAGAATAAGTGACTATTTTTTTGTAGGTGGGATTCTTTGGGGGCATAGGTTGGACTAGATGACATCTGAGGTCTATTCCAATTTGAAAAGTTCTGTGATTCTGTGACATAGTTCCTGACCCTGAGGATCTTATACTGTAAATAAGTGTGAAAATAGTGTACATGTAATTTTATACTGTTAAGGGGGTATACAACATGTAACCAGATGAGTGAAACACAATAACTACTCACTGAGTCAGAAAACACTGTATTTAAACTTGGTGGAGCTGGGTGAATTTGAATGCTAGCTTTTACACTTTCTACATGTGTGGCCTGCACTTAACTAACCTCTGTGTCTCAGTTCTCCTGATGATAAAATGATGCAGTTAAATTAGATGATTCCCAAAGTCTCTTCTAGTTTTAAAATTCGGTAATCAGATATGTTACAACAACCCTGTAGCTTAACAACAACAATAATATAACAATAATTAGTAATGATGATGATAGATAGCATTTATGTGAAGTTTTAAGTTTTGCAAAGCATTTTGCAACTATGATATCATTTTATCCTTGTAACAACCCTGGGAGGTGGGTGTAAGTATTATAGATGAGGAAACTGAGGCAGACAGCAGTTAAATAATGTGCTTAGAGTCACGTAGCTAGTGACAACCATACCAACCTAAAAGTACTAGCCTTTCAGTAAGCACAGACAGCTACCTGGTTATTGGATATTACCTTTCTATCTTAGTACAGGGCTTGTTGTTGTTGTTGTTTTTATTTTTTTCATAGCAAGGACTATCCATTCAAATCTAATCCTGTCTCTCAACTATTACAAACCATGCTAATCCATAAACCACAGTAGAATACTATTTAAAAATTTTTAATAGCTTCACATATGTATGTTAAGCCTATCTACCCAAATAATATGTAAATTTTTTAAGGGTAAAAGCCCTTTTTATTTTTATATTATCTTATGGTGACTAGTATAATGTCAGGCACATAATGGGTGTTTGGTAAACACTTCTCAAGCATTGGTTGGTAGCTTGGATAGAGAACATCTACCAATGCAAAGCAAAGTTTATAGGATCTGAAGTCAGAGGAATCCAGTTCAAATCCCAGCTCTGTCATTAGGCAAATCACTTAATCTCTGTAGGCCTGCATTTCCACTTCTGTAAAATAATGGGAGGGTTAGTAGATCCCTCTGTGTCCCTCTGTGATCTTTAGCACAATGTAATACATGAAGTACACATTTCAATGGATTATAGCTGTATTGTTAGGGGATTCAACTTATCCATAAAATTAAAGAGTTGCAGAATGAATTAGAAAACAGTACTGCAAAATTTGATGCATGTAAGAACCATAGTTAAAAACTAAAGATATATACACATACATATACGCATACATGCATACATATACATATGTATATACATGCATACATATATATTTAATTATATATATATATTATATATAATTATATATTAAAACTGAAGGACTAAAAAAATTTATTTTATTTTCTCTTTTCTTCTCTCATAATACAACTATTGTACTTCAGGCAGGTCATCATTATCTCTTCCCTAGTATATCACAAAAGACTTCTGATTGGCCTCCCTATGCCCAGTCCCTTCTTTCTCTCTCTCTCCAAGGTATCCATAGCTGCCAAGTTTATAATGAATAGGTAA